TGTGCTGTTCCATGCTCTACTATCCCAACCAACTGGGGCAGCCCTCTCCTGTGACCGCTCATGGGCGGTGGGGGGTCTGCGGGCATCGACATCCCCGCCTCTGTGAAGGAAGTGCCCTTGGTGTTAGAAGGGGAGCAGGGCGCACGCCCTCAGGAGCCTGCCTTCAGAACTCAAACGTTAAAGCATAAGGCAGAGAAGGGGGCTGCCTCGGAATTTATAGATGACACTCCATATTCTGTGGCGCCTCTCTACCTTTGTGAGGTAACCTGGCAATTTAGGGGAACGGCTTCATGTGCTTGGAGCTTGTCACCAGCCCCGATCCTAGTGGATATACTGGCTGTTACCAACCACTCATCAAACGCTGGACGGACATTCAGGAAGCACCTCTCGGGCCCAGACATGAGCCAGTGTAAGAGTATGGAGACGAGTGGGGTACCCTTCCCTTCCTTGAGGGACTCGGGGGGACCGCGGCATCAGTGAGGACAAGGCCTGCTACTAACAGTGGCAGGTCCTTCCACGTTCAGGGAGTACCCTTACACGTGGCAGTATGCGTGCGCACACATGTTTGTCCATCGCAGTAACTGGACGGAGAGAAAAGCCAGGTCAGGAAAGGCGAGGGGTTTTACAACAGTTTCCTGGTGTGCAGGGCAGTACTGAGAAGCACATCTTCTGTCCCCAGGTGCCAGGGGGCCTCCAGCAGCACCCTCCACCATCCAGGAAGGAGGCAGGGTGGACCAGGCTTCCGGAAGTGTGGCTCGCCATTGTCAGAGGGGGGAGGTATCCGTCTGTGAGCTGGGGAGAGTCCGGCGAGCCTCCACGGTGGAGGTAGCTTTTGATTTGGCCCCAGAGAGAGCGGTTGAATGTCTGCAGGTGGGAAGCGAGGTGGGGGACGAGCTCAGGCCGGTGGGCAGGTGTGCAAGGCCTGGTGCTTTGAGAAGGGCAGGGAGCGGGTGCATGGGAGGCTCAGCGGGAGGAGAGGGCTGCGGGGGCCTGGTCCCTACTCCCGTGGGGCCTATGATGGTTTTTGAGCAGTGAAATGAGATGATGAGAGTTTTGTTTTGTTTTTAAGACTTTATTCATTTATTTGAGAGTGAAAGCACGAGCCCGTGGGCGGGGCGGGAGGGGAAGGGCAGAGGGAGAGTGAGAAGCAGACTCCCCACTGAACAGAGCACCTGACGAGGGGCTCTATCCCAGGACCCTGGGATCATGACCTGAGCCGAAGACAGACGCTCAACCACTGAGCCACCCAGGTGCCCGAGATGATGAGAGTTTTGGTTTAAAAATGCAACTTAACAGCTGTGACGAATGTAAATTGGAAGGGTCAGCTTTTGGGGCTTACCAGTCTGAATGCATTCGAAGGCTGTCAGAAACGCGGCCACTTTATGGTCTTTTCAAGGGGCGAGAAGGAGAGGGGAGAGAGGGAGGATTAAAAAGCTCCCAGGAGGTTTGCAGGTTGCCAACATCTCTGCTTCGGGTGTGCGGACAGCGAGTCCCATGTGAGGCACCTGCGGGGTGTTTTGGAGGAGGTGGTGACTGGGCAGGAGTTCGGGGGCTGGGGCCGTAGATAGAGGTTAAGGTTTCCTGAGCGTGACCCTCTCCCCGGCCCTCTGGCCAGCCCGTGGGGAGGCCTCGCGGCCCGAAGGGAGCTGACCCCATGGCTCGGGGAGCCTTGTTGGCCAGGAAGCCAAAGCAAGGAGGGCGCCGGGTGTGCGTGGGCCACAGGCAGGGGCCTGCTCTCTCTCCTCGGGTCTTTGCTGGCCAGGAGGTCGCCAAGGCTCGTGGGCAGCAGCTTGCGGTTCCCTTGGTCTTTACAGCTGAGGCCGCGGCCCTAAGCTGCCCAGGGCGTGGCTTCGGCCACTTATTTCCCCCAGGCCTCCGCAGCACAGCTTGGAAGAGGCATGAAGGAAGGGAAGGGACCCGTTCCCAGGCACGTGCGCTCAGCTGGCGGGGAGAGGCTCTGCCCCTGCAGGAGGGTCCGATGCCTTTCTCCCTGGGGCTGGGAGGAGGGGTGTTTACCTGCCTTCTGGGACCGTTGTGGTGACCAGTCTCTGGGTTGCCGGAGCAGGGGGAGGGAGATGGCCAAAAGCTCCTGACACTGGCGAGTGGGGGCAGCTGTGACACCAGTCCTGCATCTCCAACCCCCCAGATGGAGGTGCCCCTTAGCCTCTGGTGTCAAATGAGAGTAGGTGATTGTGATGCAGGCTTTCCAGAGAGGGAAGTCCATACTTGAAGTCAGAGCAGCATTTCAGCGAGTCTTGCAGGTTCCCATCTGTGAGTTCTTGGAGGTGGAGGTCAGCAGTATTTCAAGCACGGAAGGTTCTAGAAGGAATTAGGTACCTGGCTTTTCTCCGACCTCCCTACAGGAAGGATCTTCAATACCTTTGAGAGCCAGGTGATAATTGTACCATGCCCTCGCTCCGGTCGATGTCTAAGGTAAATTCCGTGCAGTGTGCTAAGTCCAAGAAAAGAAATCAAGGCTATGTGTATGTAAGTGAAACTTACTTTCCAAGTATTTTCCTCCGGGTTGGAATTTTCTCCTGAGAGTGCTACCATACAAAGCAATATTCTCTTTTTGGTGAAAGAGCTTTGGAAGGAAATCCTTTGGAATCCACCTGTGGATTATTTTGACTGTCTCCCTTCCAGAAAGGCTGCCTGCTGAGTTTTTTCCCCCCAAAGACAGATGGATTCAGTAAGGAAGTAACAAATGTAACCAAAATACCCAGAAGATTATACTTGTTTAGGGCAGAGTGTCTAAACTCATTCCTTACTGACATCTTGGGCTGGATACTCTGTGTCGTGGGGACCATCCTCTGTAGCCTCTGTGGCCTCTACCCACCAGATGCCAGTAGTACACGCCCCACCCCCCACCTCTAGTGGTGACAACCGAAAATGTCTCCACTTGGCTACATGTCGCCTAGGCTCCAACATCTCCCCTGGTTGAGAACCAGTGGTTTAAGAGGATTGTCTGCTCATGCATTTCTGTAGGAGAATCTAGGAAATGTCATCGGTTCAGTAAATCTGTTAAGTCTTTTCTTAGAGCTTAGAATATGAAACGGTATGGATGCCCTTCGTTTCTGGAACAGATGTGGTTGGTGTTGATACGCTCTTTCATATTTATCACTCACTTATTCAGAAGCCTTTGGGTGCCGTGAGCTCCTCGGTGCGAGGGTCACGGCGAGGCGGGCGGGGGGCAGGGGGCAGGCCCAGCCGGTGGCAGTGAGTGTGCTGCGCAGGGGTCCCCTCGAGCCTCCTGGGGAGCAGGGTGTTGCAAACACCTGAGGGTCATCCAGCAACGGTGCCAAGGTGGATTCTCTCAGGTCACTTAGGCCTTTCCCTTAGAGTCCTTCCTTCTGCTGGCTAAAGTGGCACTTTTCCTTCTTTCTAGAAGGGCACCGAGAGGGCACTTACCAGAACCCAGTCTTTTTTCACTTGCTGGAAACAGCTCCTGGATAACAGCCCTCCGCCTGCTAAGTAGCTGGTCCACTCAGGCTGCTGCGCCGGCTCACACTTGCAGGTGTGTCCCAAACTCTAGTGCGGGGCACACTTGCACAGCCACACCCTCCCCTTGGGTCGGAGGCCGCTGGGTGGGAGTGTGCCTCGTGGGGGGGGAAAGCCTGAACTCATCTCTGTAAATGGCCCCAGACGGTTTTCTGAAGCAGAATCTACACAGCACTCACCCACGCACGGGGTAGTCGTGCACACTTGTGTGCGCCACACAGACCGGGGGTGGACTGAAAACAGGCGGTTTTGAGTCTCAAAACTGTGCCTTAGGGGCTTTGTGCCTTTTTTCCTCTCTCCCAAATATTACCCTTAACCTGAGTCACGACCACAGTTGTTTCTACGGGGAAACGGACCCACACGCTCTCATATTCGGCCTCTCAGGAGATGAAAAAAGTCACGGCTTGGTACACGACAACCTGCCCATCAGTTTTTCATTAAATACATTCTGTTTAATAAGGGAGAGAGGTAAAGTTTATGGATCAAGTAATTAAGGGTTTTTCTTCTGATGATGGAAAAAGGGATACGAGAATTCATGTTCTTCATTTGGGGAGAAATACTTGAATGGGAAACTGCGTGTGGATTTTTAATATGTGCTAAAAGACATGGTATTTTAAAGAACTTCTTTAACAAAATGGCCGATAATAAGATTTATTTTAATTTTTCAATCTGCCAAAAAAACCCAAAACAAAAAAAATCAAACTATGCTCATATATATATGTGTGTGTATATATATATATATATATATATATACAGTGTCGACATTTTCAGAGCACTTACATTAGGAAACATTGTGTTTCTTTTCAACCATATGACAATACTGTATATGCCACAATAAAATTTACAAAAACAGTCGCATCAGCAGTCATACAAACATCATGATTTTACATTTCAATACACAAGAAAAAAATAGACATCTTCCCGGCACTTTTGTTTCCTCATAACCGCTGCCTGTTTCCAGTCTCCACACGTGCTTTCAGACACTTCGGCTTTTAAAACCTAACAGTGGCTATTTTAGAAGTCCTATCCTCTCCAGATCCAAACTTAAATGAGAAATTTGCCATTTAAAAATACCAACCAATGGTTTATTAATGGGTACGGTGAAGCTTCCCCACCACGATGTGTAAAAAATTGCATGAAAGTAAAAATAAATAAAGCTGTTGTAGAGCAGTTTTGTTTACATCATAGTTCAGAACAGACAAACATAAAACTGTCATTAAAGTTTTATAAAGTAATTATTTATATCCAAATTACAACTGTTCAACAAATCTAATGAAAACAAACTGATTTGGTAAAGGTCCACAGACTTTCACGCCCCAGCACCGTGTGGTTCCAGCTGCCATGGGCCGCGGTGATGACGTATCGCGTGTTCTGACATAAGGCACTAGGTCTGAAGAGGCCATGCACTCGCCTTATGTCATATTACCTGTTACAGACCAGTGAATTCTTTGAAATGAAAAGTAATAAAAATTTCAGGACACAGTGCACTTTAACATACAGCATTTGAAATCGTTCAGACAAAGGTCTGAAAATAGTCTTTTAATGCAAGCCTGAATCTTCAAACACATAAACTGTTTCTTATGCTCAGTTTCAATATCACTGGAAAAAATAACCCATCACTAAACCCTGATATACATTCTTAGCCATTCGACTGTCTTCTGTCACGGTCAGTGTTCATGAGGCAAAGCGTGACCCCAGAATCTCTGTTCAGGTTCTCCTCCAAGGGCTTCTCCACTCACAGTGGTCATTCTGCTTCCGCCTCCTTCTGTTTGGCACCTGTTGGTAGATGGAGAAATGAAAGTCTCAAAGCAAGAGAAAAATACGCCGCAGCTGGGCCTGTCCTACACATAGGAGCAGTGGTCCACCCCACCCCCTGGCTTGGTGGTCTTCACCCATATTCTGAAGTGCCTTGGGAGAATGTTCTAGATGTCGCGAGGCGGGGACAGGAGACGAGCAGGTGGCTCCAAGCGCCTCACCCCCACCTGCAGTCACAGCAGCCCACTTCGAATCTGTTACCATGTCAGAAGTTGAAATATGCAAGATTCAGTTTGAAAAAAAAAAAAGCGTTCTAGCAGTAGAACTGCTAGAATTTTTAAAAGAAGGAACGCATGTGTTTTAGTGAAGGTGCACAGTATTGCTGTCACACAGGCGAACCTCCTTCCTTGTGCTTTGCTTTACTGCGTGTTGCAGAGGAGTCTGTTCTTACAAACTGAAGGTTTGCAGCAACCCTGCATCAAGCCAGTCTACTGCTGCCGTCTGCCAAACAGCACTTGTTCTGTCTGTCACATTCTGGGAATTCTGTGTTTCAAAGCTTTTCATTATTTTACCTGTCATGGTGATCTGCGATCAGTGATCTTTTTCTAAAAGATTTGAGAGAGAGAAAGATGTGGGGGACGGGCAGAGGGAGAGAATCTTTCAAGCAAACTCCCTGCTGAGCGTTGAGCCCAATGCAGGACTTCATCCCATGACCCAGGAGATCATGACCTGAGCTTAACCAGCTGAGCCACCCAGGGGCCCCTCAGTGATGTCTGATGTTACTGTTGTAATTGTTGGCACCACGAACCACACACATATAAGACGGCAGCTTAATAAATGTGTGCCTGCTGACTGCTCCACTGACCAGCCTTTTTCCCCGATCCCGCTTCCTCTCCTCGAGCCTCCCAGTCCCTGACACAGTTCAGCAGCAGCCAAAGTAGGAGAGGAGAAGGCAGCGCCCGGCTGCCAAGCCCCGAAGGACAGGCCGCCCTCTGGTGCGGGGCTAACGCGGCCGGTGACCTGAAGTTGAAGCCGGCGCTCAGGGACCGTCCTGAAACCCGTCGGGGGCGGAAGAACGAGGCTGCGTCGGCTCCGCCTGTGCTCTAGAACCGGGACGACACAGCGGCAGCGGGAGAGCAGAACGGGGAGCGCGGCCTGAAGCGGGGACCGACGTGCCGCAAGCTCAGGAGCAAACGGGCCCGGCCGAGCAGGTGCTGCTCCGGGACGAGCAAAGCACGGGGTTCCCCGAGTCCCCTCCCCGGGGCGGGGGGAGACGAAGAAGGAGCCAGCACAGGACAGCAGCTCGGCTGAGGAGGCGGCGGCGGGGCCGCAGAGGACCGACTCCCATTCCGAAGGCAGCTGTCCTGGGGGGTGAAGGGCCCCCGGGCGGCCGCGGCCGCCGCGGAGAAAGCGCGCGTGACGGGCGAGCCGTCGGAGCGGCGAACCGCACGGTGGTCTGAAGCAGCCTCCAGCGCCCAGCACCCGGAGGGCTCAGCGGCCGGCGGCGGCGCCCACACCCTCCACCCGCGGGAAGACCGACCCGCTGACCGCTCCGGGGGCCGGGCAGCATGTTCGCAGGGAGGGCTCGTCCAACCGAGGCCTGCACGTGGTCGTTTTAAAATTCCTTGGACCCACTTTATCGCGATATTCGCTTTATTGCAGTGGTCTGGAACCGAACCCAGTTATCTCTGAAGTGCGCCTGTACACACTTAAAAAAAGCGTTAGAACGTTTATGGATATTTGCACGGAACACCTATCTGGCTGTTTCCAAATGGGCCGGTGGGAGCGCTACCATTTTTCTCATCACAGTGGCTTCTATTTTAGCTTCAGGCACAAGACTTTTGGAAGAGATTAACAACCTATAAAACAAGGGGCTAACGAGTTGTAGTACGCTCCTGCTTTCAGATTAGGTACTCACCGGTGGTGTGTGGCGCATATACGTAGTTCCTTTGGACTGTCTTAAGTTTTACTTTAGCTGCTGCTAAACTGTTATTACAGCGAATCGGTGTCCTCAGTGGAGGACTGTCAGCTGTTGAAAAGAATGACCTCTGGTACCTTTTATTTGTGTAACAGTGGATGCTTTCTAAAACTGCCTCTTACTGACTAGTCCGTGAACACCCACCCGACGGCACGGCTCCTGGGTACAGTGCCTCGTCGTGCACAAACCAATTCGTGCATGGTTTTGGTTTCAATTCAGAGAGTCTTTGGAGGGATGCCCGCCTGTGTTGGGCGGCTTGCTCTACAGCTGACTGGGCAGAGGCTACATGAGCTGAGCAGCTTGCCCACACTCAGGCAGCTGTGAGGGCATGCGGGGGATCAGGCACATCGGGCTGCACTCATCTGATGCTTACACAGCACCGTCCCTCACGGTGTGAGCGTCTCAAGGGCTGCTGATCCGAGGCAGGCCGGCCCTGTGTTCCAGGAGAGTTCTGCTCCAAATGTTCACTTGTCATCCAGTTAATTAGGAACACGGAGCGTCTTCCCAAACAGTGTTCCACACACTACATTGTAGAGAATTCTAATTCAACTACTATCTTTAGAACATTATTTCTATGGTAACGCACATTTCAAATTCTGGCTGTGAAACAGGGTTCCTCCCCACAGAGCAGTATTAGGGACTTAGAATTTTTTAAAATCTCAAATGTGGATGGAAATGTAAACTCATCCGGCCCAATATTCTCATTTTAAACTTTTCAAAAAATTATTTTAAAGTAATCTCTATACCAATCTGGGGCTTGAACTCACAGCCTCCAGATCAGGAGTCAGATGCTCTAGTGACGGAGCCAGCCAGGAGCCCCAGGCAACATTCTCATTCTTATGGCCTGTGACACTAGGCATAAAGACGATAAAGCACTTGACTTGTTTGCTCTTGAGTTTGTAATGCACAAAGAATCTTGGCCACAGGACAGAGGAGGGCTGAAATTCACCCTGATGCTGTTGGGCACATGTGTGCATTGGCCCAGGCCCACTGCCCGGGAAAGGGGTGCCTTTTTCTGAAGGTGCCAAGCTATGTGCCTGCAAGGAGGAGTCTGCTCTTGAGGAGGCCTTTTCCCACTGCACATGAGGGAGCTGTGTAAGTTGTAGGTTAGCTTCATCACACTCCCTGGACTGGTCTTGCTCCTCTGCTCGATGTCACGTGTGTGAGGTCGAATACAGCAGTGTGTGTTCATGGTCAGTTCTGTGTGGGGCATTCCACAGAACGAACGTCATGCAATCTGCCGCTTCTGCTAGGTGTTTGGGTTATTTCCAGTTTTGGGTTATTACAAATAATGCTGTCAACAGTCTCACATTCATTTAGTCATTTTATCACTATTTCATGATTATGAAGATTATCGTGAGTTTCAGGTTCCCTAAGAGCTGAAATTGAAAATGACTGTCCAGAGTTTCTGAGCCCGTGGACGGCCCCCAGGTGTTGCTGCTCTCACGTCGTGGATGGGCTGTTTCTCACTGGTGCCACGGATTCCTTTCAGATGGGCATCTTTAGGTTATAAACCAACTGAAACCTAGACTTGGCTAGTTTGGTTTCTGAACTCTGAAAATCAGTACTCGAGTATATGGCACACTTCAGACTCTCAGAAGTGACTCAGTCTGCGGTCTTGGCCTGTCTTGGCACAGCTTAGTCCGGCCCCAGGCTGGACTGTTTGTACTTCATGGGGGCGGGAAGGGGAGAAGCAGGGAGGAGAAAGAGGCCTGGTGATTTTCAGACCCTTCAGCCCACCCCTCGCTGTGAAACATGGCACACAGCAGACACCAACCCCTCTTTTCTTGGAGGCCCCTCCCCATCTCCGTGCACGCTCCCTGACTGCGGCGTGAGTGCTTGCTCAGAGTTGATCTGGCAGAGGATGAGGTTAGCCACCAGCGCTGTTTGCTCGTTGGTGTAATTTCCAATACACTATTAATGGAAAAAAGTTTGTGTTTAGGTCTTCTGTTTCATATACTCAAAACACAAGTTTTTTTTTTTTTTTTTTAAGGGTAGATAATGGTTTCAATAGTTAGAACCCAATGCATTTCCCACCTATGTTTTCCAGGAAATAGTCCTAAAAATAAAGCAAAACTGAAGAGATCTTTGCTTTTAAATGGAAAAGGTTATGAATCTGGCAATGAATCCTCAATTATTCAGGCACTGTGGTCGTGGATAGGATGCTAAGAATACTTTCTATAACCTTTTCTCTCTCACCCAACTAGAGCAGTAAAACTACAAAGAAACACCACACAGAAAATGCACGTGGTTTCCAGAGGCGTGGGTGCTGGAGGCACCCGCCCCGCTCCCCGATCGGCCTGTGCGCTAAGGGAAGGGCCGGCGGGCGGCACGCATACCTGCGGGCGTGAGGATCAGCGCTTGCAGGATGTCCGACAGGGAGATAATACCCACGATGCTATCTGCTTCATTCACGACCACCAGCCGATGCACCTGCAAACGAGACAAGTGGCTCCCCTGTCAGTTTACAGAAGGTTCTGCCTACAATGGGTATTAGCAAATATGTCTTTCATATACTATACAAGGAATACATCCCACAAATAAGAGACAGAAACCATGTCCAGAACCATGAAAGGTCTTAGGCTCTAAAGTTAAAATGCAATGCTGACTTTAACTACTTGTAGGAAAAATTTGCCAGCTATGTCCCACTGTTCTTAGATTTTAGAGTATTAACATATGAATGATACAACCCAAAACATGAAGTACGATGTAGTCATAATACTCTCTTAAGCATAAGTTTTTACATTTTTAAAGTAGTATTTCAGTTTCAAGTAACTATCCGCTACTGATTTACACGGGAAAGACGTCCAAATGAGCGCTGGAACAGAATAGGTCACGGTTCATTGTCTTATAGTCTTTTCTCCACGAAGTTCATAATTAATATGTTCATATGGTTCAGAGGATAAATGAGCTATAATAAAGTAAATAGAGTACATTCACATCTCATGTTCTACTCAAGTCTTTTATAAGCGAATGGCCAGTGTTTTGAGGTATTACTCTGACAAAGCATCCTTAACACAGGAAAGGAGTGAGCAGGCATCAAGTTTCTCTGAGCGTCTCTGACTTCCAAGCTTTAGCACTTAGGCCTGAGGCAGCCACACACCTGCTGGTTACCCTGGAGACGATCCTCTTCTTCTCCCTCTGGAACAGTTACCCACCCCCCCCACACACATACTGTGGGGGGCACAGGAAGGAGATGGAAGGAAATTCTATTTTTAGATTTGTCTCTGATACTGTGTTGGGGATGCTTTTCACATCTTAGCTTGCTTCGGGTTTAAAAAAAAAATGACTTTGTTCTTTCTCATGACATGACTTTTAAGTTTCTCTAGGGGAGTCTGGCTGGCTCAGTCAGAAGAGCATACAACCCTTGATCTCCGGGTCCTGAGTTTGAGCCCCACGTTGGGTGCAGAGATTACTTAAACTTGAAAAATTTCTCTAAAAAAACTGTAGGGTCTTCAATAATTCTGCAATACAATTATTTATAAATTAAAATAACAGCTTATATCTAGGATCAGAGAACGGTTTCTAGTCTATGAGACACATTTTGTTAACGATCAATAATGCTAATTAAATAACTCTCTTTAGAACTACTGAAGGTCAAGGAGAGGCCATCTCACCCAGAGAATTAATTCCACCAGGCAGAACTGACCACCAAAAACATTTTCTTGTCATTTGCTGCTGAGTCTAAACTAGTGAATATTCCTGGGTATCAAAAAGCTGCTGTGGTATTTATGTCATATAAATAAACCAAATCATTGCTGATACTGTTTGCCCTTTCTCCAACAACTGTATTTAAGGTAAAATTGGCCTTGGTCCCCCAGTAAGAAGTCACTGGGTTAAAGAAATTATTTAATTTTTTAAAAAATTGATTTATTATTTTTTTAAGATTTTATTTATTTGAGAGTGAGAGACAGAGACAGTGAGTGAGAACACTGAGCGGGGAGGAGAGGGAGAAGCAGGCTTCCCGCTGAGCAGGGAGCCCGATGCGGGGCTCGATCCCAGGACCCTGGGACCATGACCTGAGCCGAAGGCAGACGCTTAACGACTGAGCCACCCAGGCGCCCCAATAAATTATTTTAACGGGGAAAAAAGTCAAGATGCATAATGAGAAAAGTATTGAATGACATCTTTATTTTCCTCAATGACCCATTTCCTATTACAAAGAAATATCTGTTGCTTGCCAGATGAACTGAAAGGACAAGCCAGTTACCTTTTTTCTTCTACCTGAGGGATGCATGCTCCAGCGAGAGAGCTCAGAGGAGCACTGCGCTCCTAGTGTTCTCCACATTAGCCAGAACCCCACCACCCGGGAACAGCCAGTTAGTACTGTGCTGTGGGTCCTTCTGGCCTCTCTTTTGCACATATATATGCATATAAATGATTGAAATCATACTATATACAGTAATTGGCTTTTTCTCTTAGGAATACATTGCTAATGTTTTTTTTTTTTCATATCAACCAAATACTCTTCTAGAACATTTTTCACTCTTATGAGGGGCTCTATCATATGGACGTCCATTGTCTTTATAAACAGGATCATTACCTATGATCTTCAAAAGGCATGTAATTCTAAGGACCTTATTAAAAGTTAAGATGTATTCCTAAGTCAATGAAAACTCTTTGGAAAACAAGACTGATGGATATTAAATTCAAGTAGAAAAAGTTAAAGAGTTCATACTGAGATGCTAGTCAAATATATTTCAAAAGCCACAGTAGTGGTAATGGGGGGTGGGGCCTCCCCTCAGGTGAGCACAGGGCAAGGTGGAAGTCTTCAGTACCCAATGATGAAAATAGAGCTGTGTTTCTATCTGACGGCTCCAGCAAGGGAGGTCGTCTTCTGATGCGACCTCTACTTCATATGTAATGTTAAGAACACCTGTTAGCCTAAAAAATTATCAGGGACTTTTCTTCTTGGACTGCATTCTCATATTTACAGTAAAAAGTACCAGAGCGGACATAGCATTATGAATGGATTCTGCCTACTCAGGGACTGTTCCAGAAAGAACACTGCTGCATCCTTCAGTCCTAGAGAGGGATAAATGGGAGACCATTCCTATCCCTGGCTAATAAGAAAGGAAAGGAATGATCTGGGGAGTGGGTATACTGAGTTAGATGCGTTACCCAGTGGTCTCGCTCATCTTTTATTTTAGTGCACCCAAAAATCCTACACGCAGTAAAGTATGAGGGCGCATGAGTGCTGAGGGTCAGGAAGTGATGTTATCAGACTGCCTACTATTATCCAAATCAGGCAAGAGAGAACATTAACTTAAAAAGATCAAAAGATAATTTTGATTTATCCTTCACTTTGTTAAAACTATATAATCATGGGAGCCTGGGTGGCTCAGTTGGTTGAGCGTCTGCCTTCGGCTCAGGTCATGATCCCAGGGTCCTGGGATCAAGTCCTGCATTGGGCTCCCTGCTCAGCAGGGAGCCTGTCTCTCCCTCTGCCTCTCTCTCTCTCTCTTATGAATAAATAAAATCTTAAAAAAAACCCCAAAAAACAAAACTATATAATCACACATTTTTAACTTCAAATTCATAAATACCCTAATGGAACTCAAAGCTCTTGGGACATGTTTTCTTAATTATGTATTTTTTAAGCCATGGAAGTCTCTTTACCAGTTTGATTCAACTATGGTATCAGGACTTATCAATTCAATTCAATAAACATTTCCAGATCAGCTACGCGTCAGGCAACACGCGAGGTTCTGGAGAGGGAAAGTGGGATATCCGACGGAACCAGCCTCTGCTTCCCTGGCCGTTCCTGCGATTCACGATCCCCCCACCGCGGCACCCCGGTCAGTGAGTACTTGGGGCAGCATGGCTGGGGCAGGGGTGCGGAGGGAGGAGTGGCCCTGCTGCCTCACCTCAGCCCGCACTATTCTGTCCACGATGGTCTCCAGGATTTCCAGCTTACTGCACTTCACGACACCCTCGAAATACTGAGAGCGGTGCTGAAGGGCCTGGGTCACTGTGATATCTAGGTTATTGTAGGTTTTTTCAGCAGCAAGGTTCTGTAATAAAGTAACAATGAATTATATCCTTTCATTTCAATTCACATTCATAACCAAAATTAGTAAGTTTCAAGTGACCTGATTTTTAAAAATATTCCTGTTCATCACCGTGCCAGGTTATCACATGCAGTTAGCATTATTTCATCATCAATAATAACTAAAGCTTACAAGGTATACCTTTGTCGTGGAGCACCCTTGTGACATAGCATCGGCGTGTCCTACAGAAGAATCCCCCCATTCTTACCCTGTGAGGCTCTAGAGCCCATGTGAATAAAGTCTTTGGAGAGATGGACTAACATTTGTAAGAAGGGGTGAGAAGTGCCCCAGGGTGCCCTCCACAACGGGCCCTCCCTGTGAGCCCTTGCCCGGGGAGCCAGGTTTCCGCTGGGAAGGCGCTGAGGGAGCCCTGGGATCGAGCAGCTGTGGAGGAAGAGCAGGCCAGACAGGCCCCACAGACCCATGGGGCTTTAACCTTAGACGGTCCTGCTCAACCAAATTCCAATTGGCCTGTTTTTGGGTGTCTGTTATCGTTAACCAGAATAAATGAAACAAAAGGGTTTGAGACAGCTGGTTGTGAAGTATTTAACACTGCGATCAACATTAGGGCCAAAAAAGATGAGCACATTTGGGGCTACTAGAGTTTCAGTTCACTTTCTTAGAAATGCCATAAAACCCTAAGGAAGTGCATTTAAAATGGGGAAAAGAAAGCAGCCAGAGGAAACATGTAGTACTACCGCTAGTAGATTTATACCGGGGATTAAAAAATAGGACTTGCAATCATTCTCCTGAATGCTTTCTGCTGTTGTTCTCATCAGCAAACAACAGGATCCCTAGCAAGGGATCCACCAATTCGTGTGCACGCTAAGCACCTGCCGGCTGGCAGAATGAACAATGTCTTGTGCATGGCAATAGGACCATTTAAAATATTTACACATGCTGTAGTGCTGGATAAACTATCCATATACTGAAAAGACAACTATAAAATACTAACATATTCACTGCTAAGCCAGTGAACATTAAGTACAGTGACTATGGGCAGTCTACGGAATCCTCTGATCCACACATCCACAAAAGCTATTAAATTAGGGAAAACCGCAAACAAGTAAGTGAGTTCGTTTTAAATGCATTCTAGATGACAGGTGTGACAAAATTAAAAATACTTACAATTACATCAAATTTGGAATAAATATCTACAACTTTTCCTAAAAATGAAAACAGATGTTAGAAAAATGTCCTAGAAACAAAAAATAACATTTAAAATCTATCTTAACCAGATACTTACTAGCAATAAAGTATTGCTAAGTAACAAACTTGTCTAACTTTAAACAAACATTAAATCACATGTTAATGGAAGATGTGAAAATAAGCCAGTCAGAATTCTCATTAACTCGAGGGCTCCTTGGTGCTGACTTGATCTGCCTTATCTAAATTTTCATCCCCAACCCCTGCCCGCCACCCACCGGATCTGATCCATTGACTATTTAACATAAGTTTGCCCCCAGGGGACAAAGTGTGGTCTCCGAGGCCCTGGTATGATCAACCCACAGACCTGACTCATCCACCACAGGCAAGGCCGACACTCGTCTCTCTACAAAGACGTTCAAGGCTTTGATGATGGGAGTGTCCGGGTGGATGAAGGCGATGTTGTGATAGGTCCCAATTCCAAGGGCATCCAGGTTCTGCTTCATGAAGGCAGGCTTTGGCATATCAGACATCTAAACAGGAAGATAAATACAAATGCTCTAGAGCCCAAACAGACCTTTTTAATGTTCACATGTCCACACTTGGACGAAAAACTTATGTATAACAAATTAAAGTTAGTGTTCTCTACCAATCTGCCTGGCTGTCTGAATTAACATGGAAATGTTACGTATAAGAATTGTAGTTTTTGTTCAAACTGGTTTCTATTCTAAGCTTATATTTAACTACTCAGTAAAATACTGCAGAACACACAGATCATAAGGTTCCCTTTCCCTTCACTCACTGAAAACGTGGATGGAAGAGGGAACAAGAGGTCTCTGGAAATTAAGACCCATAGCCACCCAAGAATCCTTTATTCTTAGTTATTTATGTTAAATTCCTGGCCCTGTCAGCATTATTTACGAAGAACCCACACATTTCCAAACACAGAGTGTTTGATGGGAATGGTCTGAGTTGCGGCTAAGCTAGTCCTCACCCCATCCCACCCTACATCCTGAACTCTCCTCTGGAGGACTCTAACTTGTGATTACTAGGAGCAAAGAACAAGCCAACTGAACAGAATTAAAAGAACCTTTAAAAGTTCACTTTTCTTTTCATCGGCTGTTTTAGAGGAGGAGGGAGAAGTCAGAAGAGAGAAGTCTAGGGTCACGTTTGACTAACAAAATAAGGTCTATGGTTTCAAAAATCCACCTTGTATAAAGGGTATAGTTGATTCCGTCCTCCTGGTGTACCTTATAATTATCAGGAAAAGATGAACAATTAGAAGAAACAAAATGTTCAAGTCAAAGAGTTCATCAATATTCAAATCATGAGAATCCTAGAAATTTAGAGAAAAAAAGAAAGACCTATTAGGTCATCTAGCCCATCTTGATGCAGGTTAACCCCTGTTCTATATTGTACGCTTAGGCTAACTGTCAAATGTCTCCACGGGTAAGGCCACTTTTTCTCAGAAGATGATCTCAATTCAGTAAAAATCAGGGTCTGAAATTTATTTAAAATTCTGTTATTTTAATCTGAAAACCTCTAGTTGCATATTCTAAGAGTGTGATTTAATTACCATATTGGCCCAAATGTAAGGCGGTACTGGCAGAGGCAACCTCCTCTACTCTTGATGGAAGAGAAAACACCAAAGCCTGTCTCCAGCTGATACTCCTTGTCTGCAGGAGCGCAGACTCGAAAATGGGCTGGACTCGACCTCGTCACATCTGGGAGACCTGGCGCAGGTTTAACCCTCTGAGCCAGGCACCTCTGAGCCGAGGGGCGGCGGGGGGAGGGACGCCACGGGGCAGAAACCACTCTGCCACGTGCCCGCAGTGACCTGCAAAGTTGCTCCACCTCGCAGTTTCACCACCTATAAAATGGGATTAATCAAAATACCTACCTGAGAGGGCAGAGGCGAGGATTAGCCGTGTCTTGTGAAGTGCTGAGGACAGGATCTGCCCCGTCATCAATGCGTAAGAGTATGTAGCTCTGACGATTAACGTTATTTTACAATGCTTACTCTCTGAGGGGCTGAAAGCCTGGGGGCCCTGATACACAGCCCCAGCCTGGGTCCCGTCCAGCCTGGACGCTGGGGCGGCGGCCCGAGCAGCACACAGGCCTGTGCACGACAGAGGTGACGTCTGTCCAGTCATCTCCACACGTCCCTAACTGTCCCTGACACGGTCTCTCCACTAAACTGTGTGCTTTTCAGTAACCTACCTTCTTTCTTAGCATTTAACCACGGAGAGTGTTAGTTTTACACGTAAACTACTAAAATATAGGACTGGCTTGGTGGACAAGGGATATCTCCCACTTACTAAACCCCTTGTGGTTCTGCCTGCAAAACTGAGGCAGAGCCCCGGGAGAAGGAGCCTTGGCTCCTTTGCATCACACCAGAATGCGAGTTTATTTCCGTAATTGAAGCTGTGTAGAAGGAAATGGGAAAGCTAATGTGATGTAGATTTTTAATGTCTGTTAAGTTCTTTTGAAAAATGATTTCACGGGGCAGCTGGGTGGCTCAGTAGGTTAGGCGTCTGACCTGTGATTTCAGCTCAGGTCATGATCTCAGGGGTGTGAGACGGAGCCCTGCGTCGGGCTCTGCACTCAGTGTGGAGCCTGCTTAGGATTCTCTCTCTCCTTCTCCCTCTGTCCTCCTTTCTCTCTAAAATAAATAAAATCTTAAAAAAAAAAAAAAGACTTTATATGATCTCTTCTGAAGCAGGAATGAGGCCTCCTACTGGTCACAGCAGACCAACTACTTCTAACCTCAAACTCAGTGCGTGTAATCCAAAGGAAAAAAATTAAAGCCCTCTTGTAAAAACTCTGGTCCTTCTGAGCCTCTTTTAATGTTGACCAAAGAGATCAATATTATGGATGATTATGAAGACATCTCGTTCCAAATACAGTTGAGAAAACCTACAGATAACACAGCCCGAATTTGGACCAACATGGTACTCTCTTGCCAAAATTTTATTCGCTTTGTGTTTTTCTATCACAGCAATTTATAATAAGATAATCCTGGGGACAGTATTTTTTGAATGTTTCCAAAATCATGATACCAATAAAGCATCATAAGGCAGTTTGCTATAAATACTGGCTCAATTTATCTTACACAACACTTTCTTAATTAGACTGACTTGCAAATTGCTTTACTGCCCCTCATATTTTAGGTGATAAAATATTCTAATTTAAATAGAGAATTCCAAGGGTTTTTATTATTTTGATACTTGCACTGAAAGGCGATTGCTTTTTAATTGGAATCAACTTGAAGAATGTGCAATTTAAATAGAAGTAAGTTGAGAAATTGCAGCTGAGAAACGGAGACCTCCTAACAATCCCAATTCCAAAATTAATGTCTCCTACTGAGGTGAAGGAGCCAACTTACTTGAAGTTAATTAGTTAAAGTAGATGCAACTATGTCTTTAGAAACACTAAAAACTACTTACAAAAAGCTGGAGGAACTTGAGGATTCTTTTGTGGGTAAGTATATAAAGTGCATTCCCACTGATAGGGTCAATAACTGGCAATCTGTGGATTTTATTTTTGATCAACGAGTATACAGCATCGAAGAGGCTGTGGGAAAAGCCATCAAAGTTGTTAGGAGGCTTTAAAGAAAGATGTAAAACGCTCTGGACCACCCCTGCTTTAGAAGCATTTTCAGTGTTTTTTACATCATAGCAATAAAAGGTTGACTTGATTTAAAACAGTGTTTTGGAAAAGTTTTAAACTGGCTGTCTCAGCAAATGTTTTGATTTTTTGGTCTGTGTTAATGGCAGATACAAGAGCGAGCTCCAGATCGCTAAGGAGAGAAGTTTCTAGTAGTGCGTTTAACACTGCTGTTCGAGAGACGGCAGCGGCGAGCCCCTGGGACCACGAACAGACACCAGCAGCGGCGGGGAGCTGTGGACTGCGCCCTGAACTGGGGCCGGCTTCGTGTGGCCCGCTCCTGGACTGCCAACCAGGAGACCAGTGTGTTTACCTGGTTGTTTTTTTAGGACTTGGAAATAAAGTAATAAAAATCAGTATTCCACTTTTTCTTGTTCGTGCTTAGAGTTTGAAGAACATTTTCATACAATGTGGAAATGTATCAGAGCCGTCCCAGAAAGTCTGGATCACAACATATGTGCTAGAGCGCTACTGAGGGGCAGCGTGTTCTTCCGACCGCCTCTGGACCAATGTCTAACAGAGATTGCCCTTCAACATCGGGGCACATTAGAGCCCCCCCCGGGGGGGGGCTGCTATAATGCACATTCCTGGGCACTACTCTTCAGAGGCCACCGAGCAGGTCGGACGTGGAGCCCAGGCATGGGCAGAATTAACAAGCTCCCCAGAGGGTTTGTGTGGCAAGTGATCAGGATTTTAAAACTGTTTAGTATGACCCTCTTCCCAGCCCCTTATCAATCCTTTGGGCAAACAATGGCTGAGTCTATGGTCTCTAAATTTATTAAGTCTGATATCTGAAATAAAGGAGGCTGTCCCCTACCTAGATTAAAAAAAATCTATCAATCATGGAAACAAAACGAGAATCTGAATAAAGGAGAAAAACTTTACACGTTTACCTTGCGTCTGGAGATATATTCACTAAAGGCTTAAATGTTTCTTGTAAATAAAGCTCTGTTTTTATAGAAAGAAAATATACAATTAGTAACACATTGGCTGTTTGCAATTATTACATAAATTTCTCTTCACTTTACAGATAACAATTAGAGGGATTAAAAACCAAAATCAAATACATCTACTTTACTGAACACTACTGTATAAATTATAGTTAGGACAATTTTAAACAACTTATAAACTGTTTTCAGGACGTTGCCATTGTGGAAAAATTAAATATTTGAAAACAGTATTACAACAGATGTTTTAAGAAGAAAAGTCAAGCAACTGGATGTAAAAAGCAGTACCAGCAGAGGTCACTAGAATGCTACCAAATTACTATCACCCTCCAGAGATGAAGCGCTCATGAAATCCTTTAAAACTAATTTTTGTAGGTTTTAACAAACTTTGTTCTTTAAGCGTTCTTAAGTTTTATTTTACCAAACTGATGCTCAAAATCTGTATCTTGGGGATCTTTGTAGTCTATAGAAATTATCTTTCTAAAGATCCACTGTAACTAATTGCCTTGCTGAGGTTTCTCCACAGAAAGCATTCAAGAATATCTTGACATTACCATTATTACTACCGAATACCATGTAATATCAAATTGTAAATATACTTAAATCTTGGTCTTACATTACTTATATAGAATTTGGTAAGAAGTATCTCTCTTGGTGTTAAGTTATATACTCATAACAGGCAGTGCTAAGATACAGATTTCATGTTGACCGAGTTTGTCTGCTTTGACTTGATAAAGCCATTATAAACCAACTATATCATTCGATGAAATTTACAGGTCAAAGGGAATTAAAAGAGCCCCTAGCCCTTTAGAGAATTCTAATGGACGTTCAGATTTCACAGCTGCCACTCACAAAGGTTGCTTATCATTCCAAGCAGATTTTCCATTTTTAATTAACGTTTTTCTGTCTACAGGTCCCTCCGTTTCTGTCCAGGCTTTTCTCTGAGACCCCTACACAAGCCCTCCCCCAATGTCTGTCAGACTGCCTTCCTCAGTGACTTCCACCCCATCCAATCCACACCCCGCCCCACCGATCCAGCACGATGGGTCTAAGACAGAACAATCACACAGTCGTAGAATGAGAATTTAAAAAGTAGCTCCATTTCAGAAACGACCCTGTGATTTTAAAGGGTTATTTTTTCATGTGATTTATCCAAATCTTCCAGTTTAAAGTTCATTTGTTCTATATTTCTCCATATTTTGTAAAGAAATAATTATTAAATTTAAGAACAGATCCTTGCTTTTATTAGTTGCAGGAGGCATTCCCTTGGTGCATTTTCTATCTAGAGACATGTCTGTGGGCAAGGACAGCCACACTCAGGAGTGAGTGGTGACTCCGCTGGGGGCAGCGGCTGGGGCCCAGGCGAGCTCATTCGTCCTTATGTCCCAGCCTTAGTATACAGACATGCTGTAGGTTCTCCATAAATGTCCATTCAACAGAATGGATCATATTTATAATAGTATGGTACACTACCGAGATTAAAATAGAAATGTTTTAATTATGTAGTTTATTAAGCAGAGAGAGAAGGATCCGTGAAGTTAAAACATATTTTACAAACTAAGCAGAACATTTTTTTCCTGATATGAAAAATTTTTAACGCCCAATTGTGCTTACCCCTCCATGTTTCAATCTTATGTTCCTCTAATTCATAAATCTGTACCTGCAAATGAGAAAAATTCTTATTTACAAATGTTAACATATACTACATAAGAAAAATTACTTCATAACTACTGCAGAGTCCCATAATTCAGCAGGTGGAAACGATAATTCAGAAATACTGGAAATATAAAATGCTCTACATTTCTTTGGAGATAAATGTTTTCTAAATTTAAAACATAATTTAGGTGCCTGGCTGGCTCAGTCAGTGGTGTGTGCAACTCTTGAGCTCAGGGTTGTGAGTCTGCGCCCCACACTGGGTGTAGAGTTACTTAAAAAATAAAAAATCTTAAAAAAAAAAACTAGTTATAATATTTTCATTATTTTAACATGAAAACTTCTGATACACTTAAATTTTAAAACATAAATGGACATACATACCCAATTCCTTCTTTTTAAAGATACAGAAAATTTTTAGCAACTCTAGTTTAAAAAGGACAAATGGTTAAATTGTGCTAAGGAGAGATAGAGGAGAACTTACAACCAACACCATAAATACAATTATAAGAGAACATTATGAGCAATTATATGCCAACAAATTAGGCAATCTGGAAGAAATGGATACATTCCTAGAAACGTATAAACTACCAAAACTACCAAGAAATGGATACATTCCTAGAAACATATAAACTACCAAACATATAAACTGAAACAGGAAGAAATAGAAAACCTGAACAGACCCATAACCAGCAAAGAAACTGAAGCAGTAATCAAAAACCTTCCAACAAACAAGAGTCCAGGGCCAGATGGCTTCCCAGGGGAATTCTACCAAACATTTAAAGGAGAATTAACACCTATTCTTCTGAAACTGTTTCAAAAAATAGAAATGGAAGTAAAACTTCCAAACTCATTCTATGAGGTCAGCATTACTTTGATCCCAAAACCAAAGATCCCGGTAAAAAGGAGAATTACAGACCAATATCCCTGATTGAACACGGATGCAAAAATTCTTACCAAATACTAGCCCACAGGATCCAATGGTACATTAAAAGGAGTATTCACCACGGCCAAGTGGGATTTATCCCTGGGCTGCAAGGGTGGTTCAACATCCGCAAATCAATCAACGCGATACACCACATTAATGAAAGAAAGGAGAAGAACCATATGATCCTCTCAATAGATGCAGAAAAAGCATTTGACAAAATACAGCATCCTTTCTTGATCAAAACTCTTCAGAGTATAGGGATAGAGGGTACATACCTCAATATCATAAAAGCCATCTATGAAAAACCCACAGCGAATATCATTCTCAATGGGGCAAAACAGAGAGCTTTTGCCCTAAGGTCAGGAACATGATGGGGATGTCTACCCTCACCGTGGCTGTTCAACATAGTACTGGAAGTCCTTGCCTCAGCAATCAGACAACAAAAAGAACCTTTAAAAGGCATCTAAATTGGCAAAGAAGTAGTCAAACTTTCACTCTTCTGAGACGACATGATCCTCTATGTAGAAAATCCAAAAGGCTCCACCAAGAAACTGCTAGCACTGATAGGGGAATTCAGCAAAGTCACAGGATATAAAATCAATGCACAGAAGTCAGTGGCATTTCTATACACTAACAATGAAGCAGAAGGAACAGAAATCAAGGAATCGATCCCATTTACAATTGCTCCAAAAACCATAAGATACCTAGGAAAACCTAACCAAAGAGGTAAAGGATCTATACTCTGAAAACTACAGAACACTCATGAAAGAAACTGAGGAAGACACAAAGAAATGGAAAAATATTCCATGCTCATGGACTGGAAGAAGAGATATTGTTAAAATGTCTATGCTACCGAAAGCAATCTATACATCCAATGCAATCCCTACCAAAATACCATGAGTATTTTTCACAGCGCTGGAACAAACAATCCTAAAATTTGTATGGAACCAGAAAAGACCCCGAATAGCTAAAGGAATGTTGAAAAAGAACCAAAACTGGAGGCATCACAATTCTGGACCTCAAGCTGTATTACAAAGCTGTAATCATCAAGACAGTATGGTACTGGCACAAAAACACAGATCAATGGAACAGAATAGAGTCCAGAAATGGACCCTCAACTCTATGGTCAACTAATCTTCAACAAAGCAGGAAAGAATGTCCAATGCAAAAAAGTCTCTTCAACAAGTGATGTTGGGAAAATTGGACAGCCACATGCAGAAGAATGAAATTGGACCATTTCCTTATACCACACACAAAAATAGACTCAAAATGGATGAACGACCTCACTGTGAGACAGGAATCCATCAAAATCCTGGAGGAGAACACAGGCAGCAACCTCTTTGACCTCAGCCGCAGCAACTTCTTGCTAGACACATCTCCAAAGGCAAGGGAAGCAAGGGTAGAAATGAACTACTGGGACTTCATCAAGATAAAAAGCTTTTGCACAGCAAAGGAAACAGTCAACAAAACTAAAAGGCAACCCACAGAATGGGAGAAGATATTTGCAAATGACATATCAGATAAAGGGCTAGTATCCAAAATCTATAAAGAACTTACCAAGCTCAACACCCAAAGAACAAATAATCCAATCAAGAAATGGACAGAAGACATGAACAGACATTTCTCCAGAGAAGACATACAAATGGCCAACAGACACATGAAAAAGTGCTCAACATCACTCATCACCAGGGAAATACAAATCAAAACCACAAAGAGATACCACCTCACACTGGTCAGAATGGCTAAAATTAACAAGACCAGAAATGACAGATGTTGGCAGGGATGTGGAGAAAGGGGAACCCTCCTACACTGTTGGTGGGAATGCAAGCTGGTGCAGCCACTCTGGAAAACAGTATGGAGGTTCCCCAAAAACTTAAAAATACAGCTACCCTATGACCCAGCAATTGCACTACTGGGTATTTACCCCAAAGACACAGATGTAGTGAAAAGAAGGGCCATATGAACCCCAATGTTCATAGCAGCAATGTCCGCAATAGCCAAACTATGGAAAGAGCCCAGATGTCCACTGACAGATGAATGGATAAAGAAGATGTGGTGTGTGCATATGTGTGTGTGTATATATCCATCAGCCATCAAAAAAATAATGAAATCTTGCCATTTACAATGATGTGGATGGAACCAGAGGGTATTATGCTAAGCGAAATAAGTCAGAGAAAGACAAATACCATGTGATTTCACTCATATGTGGAATTTAAGAAACAAAACAGATGAACATAAGAGAAGGGAAGGAAAAGTAAGATAAAGACAGAGAGGGAGGCAAACCACAAGAGACTCTTAAATATATGGGACAAACAGGCTGGAGGGGAGGTGGGTGGGGGGGTGGGGTAACTGGGTGATGGGCATTAAGGAGGGCATGTGATGTGATGAGCACTGGTTGCTATACACAACTTATGAAATACTGAATTCTACCCCTGAAACTAGTAATACAATATATGTTAACTAAATTGGAATTTAAATAAAGAATAAAAAAAATTTCCATTTCCATTTTGTGGAAAACCAGCCATAGAAAATTTTACAAAGACCCTACAAAATCTTTCAAGTGGGAGCTCCCAATCTCACTGAAAATTCAAAAGGAATAAGGTTTGAAAGTAAGACTGGAGATCACCCAAGGAAGAATTAGCACATGTATGATCAATGGCACTAAAACCAGAAAGATGCACACAGGGTCAGAGACCCGTGGGACGGTGTTGAGTGGCCTGATACACATGCAACTGAGGTCCCAGGGGAGAAAGAGTGAGATAGAGAAAAATACCTGAAGAAACAGCAGTCAAAAACGTCCCAAATTAGGTGAAGCGCGAACCTAGAAGATCATGGAAACGCAGCATGCCTGGAGCAGGGATACACACAAGGAAAACCAGACGTAGGCGCGGGGCCGCTAGTGCTGAAACTGAAGGAAAGAGTCTTGAACCAGAAGGAAACAGCAGACTATCCAGAGGACAGAAGGATAAACCTTTCTATTGACTTCTGATCCGAAGCACTGGGAGGCCAAAGGACAATGAAATGACATCTTCCAAGTGTTAAAAACAACTGTTAACTCAGTTTCTATAAAACAGCAAAAGTGTTCTCCAGGCATGAGGATGACATCAGGACATTGTCAGATGAACAAGAACCACGATGGCTGGGCACAAGAGAACTGGACGGATGGCCCAGGACCGTGGGCACGGTGGGGGGGGTGCACACACCACAGGCAGCAGTGAGAGACGGCGCCTCAGCATAAAAACTATGAATGCTTTTTCTTTTTACTCTTCATTGTTTAAAACAAAAATAAGGGCAGATTAAATGGAACTATATTTTATGCAAAAAGCTCAGTATTAACTCCAAATAGATTTTGTGAAGTGAAAGCGGACTCTGAAATTCATACCGCAACCAGAACAGTACAGCGCGGAGAGGTATGGGAAATATCAGTGGAGCTCTGCCAGCCACGACGGAGGGGACAGGGCTACGCTAGTCTCCGGATGCAGACAACTAGAAAATGGGGGAAAATATGTGCAACAGCAGTTCTCAGACATTGGGCAATCGGCAGGGCAGGACTGCCACCCCCGGGGAGAAGGCACGCAAACAAACTGAGCCCACAATCACATCTCTCGAGACTGTGACCCAGTTGGGGCACGACACTCCCGCTGAGTTAGAGAGACAGAAATCAAAGTCTGGGCAGACGGAGCCAAGTGGAATTTGTGGGCAGAAAACCAGACAGGAGGAGCCGTCCAGAACAAAGAGATGGTGGGGCTGAGATCTCCTTGCGTTTTTGACTGAATACTAAGCCGGCGTGCCCGGGGTGAGAAGACAGGAGGCCAGGCCAAGACTCACAGTGGAAGACATTGCGTCTTGACCAGGCAGAATGGAAAGTCCTCGCTAAACCACCAAGGAATTCCACAGAGATCCCGGAAGCAAGAGAACCGAACCAAAGATGAACACTCTAACAAAGCTTAAAAACTGGCCGCCCAATATAAACATTTGAAAAGATGCTCGTCATCCTTAGCCATCGGGGAAATGCAAATCAGACGGACAATGGAATAGCACCTCACACCTGTCAGAAGAGCTAGTATCAAAAAGACAAGAAATAGTAAGTGTTGGTGAAGATGTGGAGCAAAGGGGACCCTCGTGCGCTGTTGTGAGAATGGAAGCTGGTGCAGCCGCTGTGGAAAACAGTATGGGCTTTCCTCAAAAAATTAAAAACAGGGGCGCCTGGGTGGCTCAGTTGGTTAAGTGTCTGCCTTTGGCTCGGGTCATGATCTCAGGGTCCGAGGCTGCAGCATGATTTACAATAGCCAAGACAAGGAAGCAACCCAAGTGTCCACTGATAGATGAATGAACAAATGCACACACATACACACACACAGGAATACTAGTCATAAAAAAGAACAGAATCTTGCCATTTAAATGTGGCAATGTGGATGGACCTAGAGGGAATTATGCTAAGTGAAGTAAGTCAAACAGAGAAAGACAAATACTAAAGGATTTCACCTAATGTAGAATCTAAAAAACAAACGAGTAACAGAAATATACTCATAGATACAGAGAACAAACTGATGGTCGCTAGAGGAGCATGGGGTGAAGGGAAAGAGGACCAAGAGGTACAGACTTCGAGTTATAAACTAAGTAAGTCACAGGCGCGCCCGCGTGGCTCAGTCGCTAAGCGTCTGCCTTCGGCTCAGGTCATGATCCCAGGGTCCTGGGATCGAGCCCCGCATCGGGGGATGGAGTCCCACATCGGGCTCCTTGCTCAGCAGGGAGCCTGCTTCTCCTTCTCCCACCCCCCTGCTTGTGTTCCTGCTCTCGCTATCTGTCAAATAAATAAAATCTTTAAAAATAAAATAAATCAGTCATGGAGATATAGTAAATAAAACTGTAACTTTGTATGGTGACAGATGGTAACTAGACCTTTTGTGCTAACCAGTTTGTAACGTATAAAAATACTGAATCACTCTGTTGTATGCATGAAACTAATATAATATTGTATGTCAATTATAACTTAATAAAAAAAGAGTCTGGACTGTATATTTAGACAACTGCTTTTATAGAAATTTTGATTTAATTAGCTACTGCTGACATTTTTATTTTATTATTTTAAGACTTATTTTAGAGACAGAGTGTTTGCAAGGGTGGGGAGGAGCAGAGGGAGAGAGGGTCTCAAGCAGACTTCCCAGAGCGCAGAGCCCCACGTGGGCTGAATCGCACAACCCTGAGATCATGAGCTGAAACCAAGAGTCAGACACTTAACTGAGCCACCCAGGTGCCCCTTGCGGAGATTTTTAATAGGGGTTTAGCTGCATTTTATCAAAATATATCTAGTTATTGGGGCACCTGGGTGGCTCAGTCGTGAAGCATCTGCCTTCGGCTCAGGTCATGGTCCCAGGATGCTGGGATCGAGCCCCGCATGGGGCTCCCTGCTCCGTGGGAAGCCTGCTTCTCCCTCTCCCACTCCCTCTGTTTGTGTTCCCTCTCTCACTGTGTCTCTGTCAAATAAATAAATAAATAAAAATCTTTAAAATATATATATATCCAGTTAATAATCATACTTGTGTTGATTTTGCTAGTTCAAAAGCAGACATATGATCATTATAAAGAAAACCAATATTTACCTGCATTGGTAGTATTTAAGAAATCAGATACCTCATGTGAAATAAATATGGGATACATACAAAGTCTTTGGTAAAACTTAATTCTAAGAGTATCTTTTTCTTTTTTAAAGATTTTATTTATTTGACAGGGAGATAGAGAGCACAAGTAGGCAGAGAGGCAGGCAGAAGGAGAGGGATAAGCAGGCTCCCTGCTGAACAGGAAGCCCAATGTGGGACTCGATCCCAGGACCCTGGGATCATGACCTGAGCTGAAGGCAGCCGCTTAACCGACTGAAGCCACCCAGGTGCCCCTAAGAGTATCTTTTTTTATTTTTATTTATTTTTTAAAAGATTTTATTTATTTATTTTGAGAAAGAGATAATGAGAGACAGAGAGCACAAGAGGGAAGAGGGTAAGAGGGAGAAGCAGACTCCCCGCTGAGCAGGGAGCCTGATGTGGGACTCGATCCTAAGACTCCAGGATCATGACCTGAGCCGAAGGCAGTCGCTTAACCAACTGAGCCACCCAGGCGCCCGAGTATCTTTTTTAAAAATAGATTTTATTTATTTATTTGAGAGAGAGCACCAGAAGGGTGCGGGGGGGAGAGGGAGAAGCAGACTCCCCACTGAGCAGGGAGCCTGATGCAGGACTTAATCCCAGGATTCTGGGATCATGACCTGAGCCCATGGCAGACGCTTAACTGACTGAGCCACCCAGGTGCCCCCTAAGAGTATCTCTTATGTTTTTACTTTCTGGTTTTATATAGGAATTTAATTATTGGGCAATATTAACCATTACATGTAAAAAGAATATTAATTCGATTGTCTTTTACTTTTCAGATATCCAAAATAGTAATAAAGAAAAAAAATTATACAATTCAGTCCTTGCCCACCCTTGCAAAAAACAGAAAAACAAAACCAACCCCCCCCCGACAAAGCAATCAACCCCCCAACGAACAAAAACCAAAACTAAAAACCAAACAAGCTGGTAGAATCACAAAAATCATAGTGTTAGATAAAAGGCCTTATGTGGTTCTCAAATTATGCTATTTTTTTTTTTTATAAAGATTTTATTTATTTGACAGAGAGAGACACAGCGAGAGAGGGAACACAAGCAGGGGGAACGGGAGAGGGAGAAGCCGTCTTCCACCGAGCAGGGAGCCCGACGCGGGAATCGATCCCAGGACCCTGAGATCATGACCTGAGCCGAAGGCAGACGCTTAACAACTGAGCCACCCAGGCGTCCCTCAAACTATGCTCTTATAAAACAGTTGGACCAGAGAGTTCTCCCACTAAAGTTAGCCAGCAGCAGTCTTTCTGTAACTGGCAGAAAAATATCAAAACTGAATTTCTCCAATTTTAAGTTTTACTTCTTTAAAACCACAGAGTACATATGGTTCTTGTGAAAAAAATTAGGGGGTAACTGCATGAGGTTGCACTCCCATGGACAGGCCTGGAAGATAAGCTCTGTGGCACTGGACCATTCATGGGTCCACGCGGTCACAACACTGCAACACGCCCATAATGTCATTAAAGATCATAAATTTAGGGGCACCTGGGTGGCTCAGTTGGTTGGGCAACTGCCTTTGGCTCAGATCATGATCCTGGGGTCCTGGGATTGAGCCCCGCATTGGGCTCCCTGCTCAGCAAGGAGCCTGCTTCTCCCTCTCCCACTCCCCCTGCTTGTGTTCCCTCTCATGCTGTCTCTCTCTATTAAATAAAATCTTAAAAAAAAAAGATCATAAATTTAGTGACTGTATATACACTGACATGCCCTGCCCATTATATATATACTTGTAAAATTCAACTACCAGCACCACCACCCCTCTACACATACACAGAAATATACAGCTCCAATGACCGACATAAGGATTTCTGGCACTTACCATGGGTGACTTATAGTATCTATGTAGTATATTTATGAAATCTGTAATTGTTAGCATTCCTGGAACAAAGAATTATATGTTAAATATAAAACCATGAAAAATTTCACAGGATAAGCAAACCTGGAATATTTTCTAGAAAAGCTTCTGAAACATACTTTAAAGGTATCAAGCACAGTTTAATATATTATATTATTTAGGACTATTAGTCTGTGAACTATCTACAACAAACTAAGATAAATTTAGCTTAAATTAAACCTGACAATAAGTACAATGGAATCAACCACAGTATTTGGCAATTCAGTGATAGAAAACTTACTGATACTATAAAACCTCACAAAAGACTTGCAGCTACATGTAAATAATTTAAAATACTTGACAATAAGGTAAGGTATTCCAAAAACTTTACACACAGGACACTTCCGGGGGCACTTGGATTGTTTCCTGAGAAGCATTCTACAAACAGTAGGTTCTTTAAGTATTGATTTAGCGCCTACTTATCAAGTGCCTACTATGGGCCAGATTCCAGGGCTACAGAGATGAAGAAGATATGAAAATTCTTTGAGGAAACGGTCACCTAAAGCAGGAGGCAGACAAACTGGTAATTTTAAATCAATGTAATGCGTACTAGGAGAGCCAACATCTGCTGTCTACTATGATCTGTACAATGAGAGATTCTGGAGTTCAGATACTGAGTTACAGGATGTTTCCGATAGGACAGCAATGATTTAGCGCAGGCATCGATCGCGTCTACGTCGCTTCATTTGCCTGGTCCACAGAAGCAGGGGTTGCCCACATACACGCGAGCAAAGGCAGCCCACGGTCAGGGGTCTGAGCACAGTGTCCCCTGTGCACCCTGTTCCCTGGCCTTACAGCAACTGGCAAAGGCACAGAAGCTCCTTCAGGGAGCCAGAAAGGTACTGAATCAAAAGAAACTGGATAAATAAATAAATATGAAAAAGAAACTCTGTGGGAGAACCTCAGTGTTTTGAATTTGCTAGTGGCCCCACCTGACCCAGACGTAAAAGCCAGAAGTCCTTTAGCCTGGCAGTATGTTTTTGAGGCTGAGTTCTAAACTAGCACCTATTAGGATACCTTGGGCTTTCTGCTTTTAGGTTCCCATTTCAGATTTCTTCCCAGGCCCACACTGCTTACCTACAAAGCTTTGTTTCTTACTCTCCCACAGTGGCGCTGCTCGAACACCATTGGCTACTAAGGCAAAGAAAGCCTTTTTCACCTAAAGACAAACAGGAGAAACAAAAACATAAAGTCCATACATCAGGGGGAAAAAGACCTTCAATCAAAATATCCAACCAGATCTTACCAGTTATTTTCAATGTTAAGTTTTATAAGTTTGAGAGCCTAAAAAGAGCTGAATTTATTAACATTGGCAAAAATACTTTTGTATTATATTTAAAGACTGGAGATTTTTTGAAGCTGAAACAATGCAATTCACTTCAAAAAATTTTTCATTGTATCTAAAGACTTTGTACACAGAGACTTTATACAGTTAAAACTGTATAAAAGAATTAAACTTCAGTTTAATTTCTCCTGTACGTGGTTATTAGTTCATTTCAAAACACTGAAGTTATATCAAATGACCTGAAATGAAAATCTGTTTCTCATATGTTCAGTAACAAAACAAACCAGCATCCTTTCTCACTTCCTGGAGGCTGAGAAGAGGTATGAGAGATATAATATCCTTGCACTTTGATATCGTCTAGAGACAAATGTTCAGTGTGTGCCGGAGCCTGTTCAGGGTGCACTCACATATGGCGTCTCTGTGAGCCCCAGCGACACAGCCCATCTGGGGCACCGCACCAGGTACAGGAGGCACCGGAGGGGGTGGTGTGTGAAAAGCCAAAAGCTCAGTGCTGAAGATGACCCTCTAAATGCCCAGAACAAATAAACACAGGGAAAATGGTTCCCCTTTATTAAGAACTGAAGAAATGGAAGATTAAAGCAATCCTAAAGTATCACTTAGAGCTGCTCAATAGGCCAATATTGTTCGGTTACAGCAGCTAATGCAAATCATTAGAAAAATGTTGGAGCCACAGCGTGTGTCAAGAATCACGAAAGCATTCATACTGTTTGTGCGCTAGCTTTTTCTCTGTTGAATTCTTATGTAGTCATCCTAAATTTTAGGAGTAGGAATCAAAAATGTTCAATGTGGCATTATTTCTAATATTGAAACTGGAAAAATATCTGCCCCCAATGAAAGAAAATGCATTAAGTACTGGATTACCAATGGGAAAAAGTATCAAATACTAAAATTAGGAAGACCATGTTGAAGTAAAAGAAAGAAGGTTTATGGCAGTGAAAAACATAGGCTATAAAATTATACATTAGAATTATATAAAATATATGTTTAAATGAAAAAGGTCAAAGAGAAGTGAGCAAAAAATTAAATGATATTAAGGAGCTGGGACAGTGATAGTGTGTTTCTTTGAAAAAATTTCAACGTGATATTTTCTTTTTAACTAAGAAAGAAGGTTCTCTCTCCCACTGTATTCCAGACCCCTGCTCACTTAATAATGAAAAGAAATGAGAGAATTACAGGAACCCAGACCTTCCTATCAGACTAGGATTAATCATTCAGCACCTATTTATGCCTTTATCACAACACATTTTGCCCTTGTTTGGCAGGAGTTATGTAGGTGCTCAGTTCACCCACTGAGTGAACTGGGACAACAGTGAGTCCAGGGACGACGGGTGGGTGAGGAAATCTCGTTAATTATTTTCTACACTTGTCCCAGCCTGCTCCAGCGCTGTGTCCTGATGATGTACAAGATCATCGGGGACTCCACCTGTCCGCTGAATGAACGGCACAGGACGGGGAAGAGGCGTAGAGAAACAGCAACTCGGTGGCATCCATAAACTGGTCAAATATTTTTTGAACCACAACGTCTATCGAGAACCACGAAAACGTTCATGCTGCTCATGTAACTAAATGGCACCCAGGGATGGTGGGCCAATTTGTAAGGTCTGCTATTTCTACCTGGATGATGCTCTGGGAACCCTTGACTGTGGTCCCAGAAAATATTACAGAAGAATATGGGGGAGAAGTCACAGAGAAACAGATTTTAAAACACATTAAATATGAACTCAGCTTGTTTTTCTAAACTGGCTGGAGTAGCAAGGGAGTGGGGGGTATCTTGTAACCACAAATTACTTATTGTTTTCCCCCAAAACACAGATTTAAAATAATTTATCAAGATCATCCATGACACCCTAAGTGACCACAGCTGTTGAAGACCCATCCCAGAAGGCTGCAAGTCTGCCCAAGATGAAGTCGTAACTACAGAAGGTGTACAAAACAGACAGACACTGTTCGAGAGCCCAGTGTGTACCACGCAAGCAAGATCCGAGAAGCTACAACTCCCCAGAGAAGAGCCGCACGTGATTCGAATGCAACAGTCGTTTTGGAATGTTTTGTGGGCATTTTCCAAATCATCTTCAAATAGGTGAATCTCAACAGAAAATTGGAATCTATCAAAAAGAATCAAATACACCGCAGGTGGGTTAAATAGAAACAAAACCACACCTCAGCACTTACCACAGACAAGATGCTAAGAATCAAAGGCCAGGAGAAAATCAGGCTAGAGAAAAAAGACACGAATACACTTTCAAAGAAGCAACAATCCCACGGACAGGGCTCCGTCAGTACATACTCTCAAATACACTGACTGTTCTTCAGAAACACAAATATGCCGCTTCTCTGGGATCATTTCCCTGACTAATTGCACCCGAAAAGCTCTTAAACAGCCCTAACGGCTATGAAGTGAGTATTCGAGCCGAACAGCCAGTGTAGACAAGCCACCAACGGAAGGATGCACGGCGCTGATTCCCGACGTGGCAGGTCCTCCCCGGGGGACACACAGGCCACGAAGGGACGCCAGACGCTGACACGGCGCGCCGGCGTCCGCGAATGCTGATGCAGCCGGGCAGCGGCAGGGTAGCGCGTGAGGAAACCCCCTCAATGAGGCAGCAGTCCAACGGCCACGAGAATGCTAAGGATTTAACGTGAGAAGAGCCACCACTGCTGCAAGGGAAGGTAAAACACGCAAACACTAGGAGAACACTTGGAAGTAAAATACCTCCCGCTTCTCTTCAATGGGAGAACCGCCAGACTCACTAGAAACTTCTGTGGGCTCGGGCCCTTGGCCCGCTCCGAGCCTCGGGGTTCTGAGTTACGACATGGGACTAACAGGTAATGTTCTCCTCGCAGGTGACGATGCGACCAACTGGGCTCGCAGGTGACGATATTCAGCAGGGTGTCAGCACGAAGAGCCAAAGAGAGTAAACGCTTTCACTCCCTCGAGTGACCGAGCCAGAAGCGCACAGAGCTCCTCCGTTCCCACTTCCCCCGCCGGCACGTTGACACGGCCACGCCTCCGGAAGGGACGTCACAGCGCTGCGCGCTCCGCAGCCGGCCTGGGGCTTCCGGGTCTGGCCACGCCTCCCCGGCCACGACGGAGCCTCCGAAGCTTGGCTTTCTCCACACCACGTGCCTGGAGTTGAAGAGCAACTGCAAACTATACTTAGAAAATGCTTCACAATGACAGAAGGCACAGGGTGCTACCAATGAACCAATGAACAGGATAGAAAGGAGGCTGGCTCAATCCGGTTCCAATCTGCAGGAAAAAACTCTTGGGGCTTCTTGAGTACCTTTGAAAACTTTGTTTCAACTGATACGCAATTTGCTCAAAGTGTTACCAGTTTTAAAATGTACTTTTTAGTAGGATTTTCAAACAGCCAAATGTGATAATTAGGTAAGGAAAGATGGAAAATAAAATTTTAATATAGAAATGATTTTTTTAAAACCGTAAGCTCTAAGAGATTCTGGCAGTCTAAATGCCAAGTGGAACATCTGTGTTCCAAAAAGTGGGAATCTGGTTCCTCTGACGCGCTTCACTGTTCTCTATACAGTTTTACCCTGATTTTCAGTAATTAAGCTGATCGTGGGGCTTTTAAAATTAACGCTGATGAACAGCTAAAGCTCTTGAAAACTACCTAATTTGGTTTCTTACTAAATTTTCACATCAGAGCTTGTCCGGTGGATTTAACACTACCTGAGGCATCTCCCCTGTCTCTGATAGCTCTCTGCTGCACGAGGAGGGGGCCGGCTTCTTAGGTGAGGTCTCCACGCTCCAGCCCAGCTGACGTGGTGAACTGGTTTGCCTGGCACTTCTATGTCACAAAGTTCCTTCTACTTCAAGTGCACTTACCTATTACCATTCTACCTATGAAACCCGGTTGACCTTTAACTTCTAACTCCACAACCGAAGTTACCCACGTCACCCCAGTCAAGGTTGACACTCCCTTCTCTCTACTCCCACAGTACCTCATTCAGCTCCTGTTACTTCTGGAGTTTCCCTCATGTCTCCTTAGGCTTAAAAATGGCAAAGTAAACACATTTCTGACACGTTTTCCTGCTGAAGTTCCCCCCAAACTACAGGGAATAGAAGCTGGAAATGGGACGAACTAGGAGGTCTGCAGGGCAGCAAGCAGATGGAGGGAGTTTAATGAGTGACAGAGCCTTGCTGGGGAGGGGCAAGGTGGGGAAAGAAGCAGACTGACCTCTCCTTGCGTGTGGAAGACCCAAGACTGGAAGCCCTGGCAGGGGTGGGGACGGGGCCAGAGACGAACAGGAAGCTTGGTTCAGATTGGGGAATGGCCACAGCCGCCTGCCACCACCCGAGGATCATTTTCTGGAGAACCCGCTCTGCAAATACGATGTACAGATAGATACGAACACCGGGGGCTTCCTATGAAACCAATCAGTAATGCCCGGCAAGAAGCCCACTTGTGCATCCACGCACATTCTTGCTGCACACCCTTCATTCCGAATAGGCAGCCCAGACTCACAGCCCCTTGACAAGACCTGGAGCGCCGAAGCTGCAGTCGCTCCAGCTGCGGACACATCTTCCCCGGAGGGACACGGAAACAAAACTTCCCAGAGGTAGAACCAAAAGCAGAGAGAGAAAGAGGCAGGATAGAAATATTAAAGGATCACTTCAGGGAGCCCAAGACAAGTTGAAGTCCCAGAGAAAAAAAATGGTAGGAAGAAAATTACTGAAGACGCGACACAAGGAACACAAACCCGAGAGACACGCACGCCAGGTTCCAAAGGCGCATCGTGGGCCCGGCACGAGGAATACAAAGACCACAATTGAGGCCCGTTAGTCTGAAATTCTGGAGTATCAGATATAAAGAGAAAATCCCAAAAGTTTCAGA